CCCCCACCCACCCCGTGAATGGAAGCGGTTCCCGGAATCCAAATTTCCCTCCGCTAAACTTTTTCCCGCTGATAAGAAGTCAGGTACCTCACCCAGCGAGGATGCAAAAACTTCAGCAGCGGTAAACAAAACAAAACAAAACCAAAAAAGAGAAGGAGCGATTCGCGGGTTTCCAGCAATTCCACGCGAACACAACTTTTAAAGCCGAAAAGCTGGAAACGTTCGCCCGGGCTCTCGGGATTTTGGGAATGCCTTCTTTTTTTTTTTTTTTTTTTTAAAGGGTTTTCTTTGTTAAAGATTAAGGACCGAAAGCTACCGCGGTTCCCAGGCAGCGGGGGAAACGGCCACTTTTCATCTATTAAAAGCGAAGGTGTGAATAAACACTTTTAAAGATCCCTGACACTTGCTTGGACCGAAAGAGTAAAAGGCAAGTTGTCAGCAGAGGAACTTTCTTTCCCAACCAGCTCTCGGACGGCGGCAGGCATATTAGGCAAGAAAACGTCTTTCCAGGGCTTTTCTCCTTCCCCAAATCCCTGTTCACCCGACTACAGCTGATTTATTTTTTTTTCTCAAAACTCCAATTTCGGAGGTAGTTAGAAGAAAAGAAAAAAAAAAATGGGGATCGCACCCAAAATAGAAACAACAATACACATGGCAGTGAATGCTGGTAACCTCCAATTCAAATTAAAGTCACTTTCTTTCTAAAAGAGTGGGGGGAGTTTGCCCTCTGCACTGCACCTTTTGGGACAGAATATATTTAAAAAATAATAAAAATAAAGAGGGGTGAGTAAAAAAGCAGGTAAAAGAAGGGAAAAAAAAAAAGTTGTGCTTACTCCCAGCCAGAACTTATCTTCTGAAAGTGAAGCGGTATATCATCACTAACACAGCAAAATGCTCAAAGACATGCACACATTCAAATATTTCAAGCACTGGTGATTTTAAAAAAGGCATTGGTAGGACTAGAGCTACAAAACCAACAAATACAGAGGCTCGGACATATTCACTTACATGCCTGCATGTCATTAATGTATAGAAAGCTTGCCTCTTCCCTGAGAGCTCCGGGATGGGGAGTAAAAGAATCAAGAAAATAGCAATATACACAGGTTTTAAGCCTACAAGTACAACTGATAAATCCTCCCGCTGCAGGACACCGCTTTGTGCCACTACTCCAGAAAGGAGGGGGGGAAAAAAAAAAGAAAAAAAAAAGAAACTTTTTTGCAGCGTCTCTGTCAGCCACGTTTCAATATTATTTCACATTTGAAATCCATTTTTTTTAAATCATACGTACCCTTTGCGCCATCGGCCTGCTTGCTCCCTTCCTACTTCAACTTCTAATATATCCTCTTTAAGGCCAGTGTGAAAAGAAAGAAACACGAAGTTCCCCCCCCTCACCCCCAAAAAAAGGCAAAAATCCCTTAGCGTCTCCAGCAATGGAAGCAAACGAGTAAAATCTTCGGCTTGCTGGATCTCAGCGAAGCGATACAGTAACTCAGCATTAAAAAAGGAGAAAAAAAATTAGAAGAAAAAAAAAACAACTCTCCCTCCTTCCTTCCTTCTTTTTTCTTTCTTTCTTCCCTCTCTCCCTGTCTCTCTCTCTTACTCTCCCCCTCTCGTTTCCAAGACAGCAGCGGGGCGAAAGCAAATATCCTTTCCCCAAATCAGTTTTTTTTTTCTCTCTCTCTCTTTTTTTTTTTTTTTTTTTTTTAAAGTGCCCCTCAAACCCAACTACCAAGTCTCATGGCTTTTTGCCACTCCGGCTGTCAATCACAGGCGAGGTTGTCAAGGTGGTGAATGACTGATGATGATCCGCTGCGTGTGCTCCCACCGCGCAGGACACCGCGAATGTTAATTTTCGAGTGCGCTCACCCAAAAAAAAAAAAAGAAAAAAAGAAAAAAGAAAAAAAAAAAAAAAAAAATTTAAAAAAAAAATTTAAATCGAGGGAGGAGGAGAAGGAGGGGGAAAAATTAAAAATTAAAAAGGCTCTCTAACGCGCCGGCTCTCCTTTTATTATGGTTATTATGATGATGATGATGATGATGGGGGGCTTTTTTTTTTCGCTCCTCCTCGGATCGCTCCTAATTCCTCGCCGGCGCCGGCTCGCTCTGCCCCTGCGCGGCCGCCGGGCGAGGCTGGCGCACCGCCCGCGGACGCTCGGCGGAGCAGCAGGAAGCCGCCGCCGCCGCCGCCGCCGCCGCTCCGCCCGAGCGCAGCGCAGCGCCGGGCTGGAGCAGACTGCGGGAACCCGGAAGTAGTGGTGGCCATAACAGGTCGCGTCTTACACAATGCGCTGGGCGGCAGCAACTCCGCCACCGGCGCAGGGGGGCGCGCCGCCCGCCCCGCGCCCGCGCAGCGCCGCGGCTGGGCGCCGCCCCGCGCCGCGCCCCCATTGGTCCGGGCGGGAAGCGGGGCTCGGACCGGCGCGCGGGGGGGGCGCGCCCCCGGCCCCGTCCCGGTGCCCGGCCCCAGCCTTATTCCCGTTCCCAGCCTTATTCCCGGCCCCAGCCCTGTCCCCATCCCCTCCGCCGGCGCGCTGTCCTGCGCGGGGCCATCCCCCCCGCCGGTGCCTCCATCCGCCGAGCCGGGGGTCCGCTCCCTTGCGTTCAAAAGCACAGCCATCCCTCCCGCAGCCCCGCCGGTCCCCGCCGGCCCGGGAGCGGAGAACTCGCCGTGCCCCTCCCTCCCCTACCTGCGCCGAGCCCCGAGCGGGCGCTTGCGGGGAGAGCTGCCCCGACACTGCCGCATCTCCCGCCCGGGCAGCGGGGCGGGCGGCGGAGAGCCCGCGGTACAGCGGGCTGAGCTGCCGGGGAACGGGGAGTGGCGGGGGGGCTCCGCTGGTGCATCCCCCGGGACAGACGGGACGCTGCTCCGCTCTGCCGGATCACCGGGGGCGGCGGGCAGCGGCTCGGTCCCCGCCGCCACGTCTCAAACTTCGGGGAAACGCGTTTCGATCCCCCCCATTCCCGCCCCTTTTCCGCTAGGACCGGCTTTTTATCCCGGCGAGAGAAACCCAGACCTCTCAGGTAAGAGCCGTTTTCCTGCACTGACCCCCACCCAGCCAGTCGGGACACGCGCGTGGGGCTCATTTCTCTGGCGAATTCCCCGGGGAAAGGCGCTCCATAACCATTCCCCACCACAGCGGTCCTTGCAGGGGGTGGCTGTGACCCAGCTCCCAGGGACGCGTTTCCTCCTCTTCCCATCCTCTTTTCCTCCCCCACCCTCCCCACTATGAAAGAAAAAAAAAAAAAAAAAAAGGAAAAAAAAAAAAAACCCAAAAGACCCCCTTTTCAGCGTCTCCACTAGGCCTTTATGAGCTTAATTCAGCGCAACTCAGCCCGAAACACTTTTACAATGTAATTACAGCCCTACAAATTGTTTGCCCAAACCTCATCCTGGATAAGGATTTTACAATTAGCAAACAGTTATTACTCTTAGGGCTCGCTGCGAGGAACTACTCGGCTCGCCTCTCCGCCTGCGAGAGGCCGGCTAGAAAAAAAGAAAGAAAACTGGAGAAAAAAAAAAAAGAAAAAAAAAAAGAGAGAGAGGGTTAATCCGGACAGCAATTAATCATCTATTAAACGGGAAAAAGTAAGCGGCCAACTCCGCGCTATCCCGGTGAACTCCTGCGGCGGCGGATGCGCTGCGCTGCAGCGGCACCCGCGCAGCATCGCACCCAGCCGCCTTTTTAGGAAAGCAACTCTGTTTGGGTTTTCTTGTTGGGCTTTTTTTTTTTTTTTTTCCTCCAAAAACTTGCTGGTTTGCGGGAGTCTATTTAAGCTTGTGCATCGCATGTGGAAAGGGTGAGGGGCGGGGGGAATTACGGATAGGGGAAAAACAATAAGGAAGGAGCGAGAGGGTCCGGTGGGTGCGGCGGCCTCGCTGCGGAGCGCGGAGCTCTGCGCGCTCCTACGCGCTGCTGCGCGGCCCCCCCGACCGCGGCCGGGCCTTTGGAGAAGGGATCCACCGAGCTGAAGCAAAAAAAGGCGTCTGGGGAGCAAGGAAGCCTCCTCCACAAGGTGGAATCTAGGTCCATTTGCTTATCGGATAATAAATGAGGCTTTTAATCAGGCTGAATTTCCCAGCTTAAGGAAAGAATTAGTCATACCTAGGAACAATCAAATGGTTTCTAGCTGGCTTCCCTGCCGCCTTCCTAGCAGGGATTTAGGAGGGGAGGGGGGGGGCGGGGGAACGGGGGGAGAATTAGCATCCAAGTGTGCTCTTTCACCATTAATACTGAAATTTGAAAACTGAAATAGGAGCAACCAAGAAGAGCGAAACAAACAAGAAACCGCAGAAGAAAGCATTGGAAAGGCGGCCGGGAGATAATCCAGGAATGCTTCAGATAAGGAAGGGGGGGGCACTATACGTGCGGAGATACCCGAAAAGTCAGAGCCTGATGGAAAGGCTGAAAGAGGGACGGGGGGTGGGGGGGAAACCCGCACTTGTTTAGAGCCTATTAAAGGTCACATCGGGCTGGGGGGTGGGCTGCGGGTGATGATAAAAGGAGTTTAAGAACGAGGGGTTTAAGCGCGCAGATGAAGCGCAGCGCCAGGATTTGGGGGGTTTGTTTACTGGCTCCCGGTGCAGAAAAAAAAAGAGCGGCGGGTCCGTGCGGAGAGTCAGCCCGAGGTCAGCCGGGGCTGCCCCGCGCCCGCCGCCGGCACAGCCCGGGCCCGGGTGCCGCCCGGGAGTCCCCGGGAGTCCGCGGGGCCGGGAGCGGGAGCTGCCCGCTGCCCCACGGCCGGGCCTGGCGCTTGCAGAAGTCATGGAGGGGTTTGATCAATTAAACGGAGGGCTTCGTAAAATATTTCCTAATAAAATCTACGGTTGTCTTAAAAGTTTCCAACAGCGCTATCATCTTTTTTTTCCTCCCCCCTTAAATAAAATTAACTGGGAAATGAGTTGCTGGCCGGGATTTTCGAGACTTCAGCGGTGACAGCGGTGCCGGCGGCGGGAGTGAAGGCACCCGCACACAAAAGGAGTCTTTCAGGGACAAAAGTTGCGACGGCTGCCAGGTTTTCCCCGCGGTGGCACCTCGGGGCAGCCCGGGCAAGGCAGCGCAGAGCCGACCTGAGCCTTGCACTTCCTACTTCACATTACAAATAGAACATTTCAGCCAAAAATCAGTACACTAACACCTGAGCTGGTAACACCATCGTGTGCTGGGGTTGTGGAAGGGTTTTTTCTTGCACGGTTTGGGTTCTACGAGTCCATTTGGGTTAATTTGGGAACGCTGCTCCGCGCCGGGGTTCGCGACGATCCCTGCCTTTAGTCCGTTCGCCCCCCGGCACTCCTGTATTCCCTGCCTATGCCAATCCCTCTCTCTTTCCTGTCGATATTCCTATACTTCTCGTTGAATTAAATAATAATAACAATAAAGGAAATTGCTGGATAAAAATCGTGGCTGCTTAATTAAAAAAAAAAAAAAGCCGCTGGGCTGCTCTGCATCCCAAGGATTGAGCTGTTGTGCCGTCTACTGGGAGACGGGAAAACTACAGCCAGAAACGCTTCCCGATTTTCTGCGAGAGAAAAGTCCAGTTTTCGGCAATTTGGAGGGGTCGGAGACGCCCAAGTCCTCAGTAGAAGAATAGCGACCCGAGACAGAAAAGTCGTAGAGACACTTGTTTTTTCCTCAGGCTACACCTGTATAATTGCATAAAAACTCCACTCTTAAAGTGTTTAGGGTTTTACTGACTGCAGACCGTGGAGCAATGATATGGTGAAGATGGTTTGAGTTTACCCATGAGAGGCAGCTGGACATTAACTTAATATGTAGGAAAGAGGAAATTTTAATTTATTATTTTTTTAAAGAAGGGGAAAATATTTGCGAACGGTTTAAAAACTTCTCCCCCCGCGACCAGCCGGCTGCAGCCTGCGGGCAGAGGGAGATCCCAGCTCGGGCAGCTCCCACCCCGACGATGCTCTCGGAGGGCAGCGGAGGCAATCGCTTCGATGCCAGTCCTTGGCGGAGCAGCAAGAGCGGAGTTTACGCCGGCCCGGCGTTAGTCTGGGTTTAGAGGAAGCAATGACGTTGCTGTTCTAAGTTCCCGAACCTTTGCCCGTGCCCGAGCCGCGGATCCTCCAAGGCAGACGCAGCCTAGCTGGATAATTCCCCTCTCCCCTCTCCCTGCTCACTTGCTGCTCCGCTCCCGTGGCGCCTGGAATGTTCTCCTCAAAAATACAAAGCGCAAGAAGAGATTAAAAAAAGAGGGGGAAAAAGCTTTTGGGCTGTTTTTTGTTGTTGTTGTTTAAAAAAAAAAAACAAACCCCAAAGTTCTAACATGAACCCTTGACTTTTATGAGGCGAGAGCCCAGAAGGGCTGTGAAATGCAAAGTCTTTGTCGTATTTACAGAGAGTGCCAGCAGCCGACTGGACACGCAGATAAAAATCTAGTGGTCTATGTGAACTCCAAGGAATGTTTTAAAGCGAAGATCTCTAAGCGCCTATTCTCAGTCCACACATATGCCCGCACGTAGCCTACAAAGACGGAGACACCCACGTAGCCGAACAATGGTGGGGATTTCTTTTAATAGGTTAAATGAAGGTATAAGCAAATCCTCCTGCCACTTGTGGCACACCAGCTCCGACTGCTCTTTGCCTTCAGAGCCACTTGCCAGAGTTCAACAGAGGGTGACATTAGCTTAAAATATTTGATACTTTTTCTTTTATTCTGGAGACTTTCCTCGCTGATTCTGGGCTAAATTCAGCTCCCAGTTCATCTCTGCGGGTAAAATTGCTGTCTTTGAAGGAAACAAAAATCTGCCTGATCTTTTTAGTTTTATTTTATTTTATTTTATTTTAATCAAGAAGGTATTACGGATACTTTCCTCAGCATACATAAACCAGAAATTAAATTATTGCCTCTCTCTGGTGTAAGAAGTCGAAGGACATCTTCTGAAAAGTTGAACGAAGTATTTTACCCTTTCAAATGAGGCTGAAAAAACTTGCAACATTGTACAAGAAGCAAATTAGCGAGTAACAACACAAAACCTCAATTTGAAGCGACAGAGAATTGAAGATTTGTGTCTGACGGTACCTCGGCTGAACTAGAGCAAAGCCGAGTTTTGTCAGATCTGATGCTTCCCTCCAAAGTAATTTTCACTATTGCTCCGTTCCTATTACCCAAGTCCATCTGCAGCTCGGCTGATGAGCCCATTTACTGCGTTAGTTCGGCGTGCCTCTGATGCCGATCGCAGAGGATGGGCACTCCTCAGAGCGGGGATCTGGGGCTACCCAGCCCGGTGGGGTGGCAGGGAACCCGGGGCTCTCTGCAGGCTCAGAACTCTCGGAGGGGGCTTCCCGCAAACGATACCATCTAGGAAAAATCGAATGCAAATCAATTAGGCTTTATAAATTAGAAAAAAACAAAGGAAAATAAGAAGCAAAGCCCTGTGGCCGGGAGCGCGGCGCGGGACGGGGCTCGGGGCGTTCCCGGGATCCCCAGCCCCAGCAGCCCGACGGCGCCGGGCACCGACCCGCGCCTGGGCTGCGAGGGCTGGGGAGGCAGGGCAGCGTGTCAGAGTCCCTGCAAGCCCGTCCCGAGAGTTCCCCGCTGCCCGCGGATCCCCCAGCACAGCCCCGACCGCTGCTATCTGCATCAGGGGGTGTATTATCACAGGCTTTTGCATAATTGCATATTGACTTTACTAAATGGATCTGCGGAGCTATTTAAACATCCCTCTCTTCTACCCGCAAACAATTCTCTCGGCAAGAAAGAAAAAAAATGCGGGGTGGGGGGGAGCTGCAAAAGAGCTTCCAATTGCTCTTGCTCCTTCATTTTGCAGCGTTTCTTTGGGCACAAGTGCCTCAACTCTAAGTAGTTTGGATCCAATTTGGTGCACAAGAGTGTAGGGAAGCAGAGATGATCTGCAGTAGCGTGGGTGACAGCAGGATGGGTAGCTGTCATTCACTTTGGTGTCTGAGAGGTGGGTGCATGGATATATGTGTCTCTTTGAACTCCCGTGGACAATTTCTGGCCAGCTATGGTGGCTGTGAGAAAAGCCTCTATGGATATGTGTGTGTGCATGCACAACCAAGGACTGCTCTAAGGACAACTTAGCAAAAGCCCTCCTTGTTAAAAACCTCCCGTAGAGCAGGGGAACTCAAATGTGGCACTCCCCTTTCCCTACAGCTCCCCACTCACAGCAGTGCCCCACAAGCCATACCAGCCCCAAACCAGAAAGCTGGGCTTTGCCTCCAAGGATAGGTGTGCTCATCCCATGGTCACCCCTCTCCGTCCTGCAGGGGCAGCTGCCCTTACCCTGGAGCCTTGTCGGGGAAGGCGGCCTCCTCCCTCACCAAGGCTGGGTCCCCAAGGCAGCAGCTGTGAGAAGCAGGCAGGGAAGGGGGGAGAAAGTGAAGGAGAGAAGGAGTAGAACTGGGGAGGGAGGCAGTGAAAGCTGTACTTTCCTCCAAGCAGAGCAAGCATCCCCTCGGAGGGGCCCCAGACCCAGGAGCTGCCTCCTGAGCCCTGGGCCTCCCACCAGGCAGCAGCAGCAGCAGCATCTCCCCTTCCACAGCCCTGCAGCCACGGTGGCGGCAGCCTCTCATCCTGGCTTGGCCCCTGAATTCTCCATGCTGGCCTTGCAGGTCTGCAGAGAGGGGACAGAGATGCACAGGGACTGGGCCAGGCCCAGGCACTGGCTTCAGACGAGAAACTCCAATGGTCTGGGGATTCTGAGCATCCTTCATAATGACATGATGGTCACTGTCACTTTCTGTGGCTTGGTTAAAGGGTTCATATGAAAGGTCTCCTGGGATCTGCAGCTCTCAAGAGGAAACTGCAGTCAGAATAATCCACCAAGATTTATTAAGAGAATGTTTGCTTCCAGTGCTAGGGCACTATTTTTACCTTGAGGATGCTAGCTTTGCTTGAAAAGCTGTAATTACACTTTGAAAAAATGCTTTCTTGCTCTTATCCTCAACCTAGTTGTAGGAAGAAGACATGAAATCAGATAGACATCCGGACTTTGGAAAGGAAGTACTTTTTATGTGGAACCCAAGAAACATCTCATAGAATTATCAGCTCAGCTCTCCTGCAATGCTATTTCTTTGCATTTATCAGAATTTAGATCAATTGAAGTACTCTGTCTTTTAGCTAAGAGGGCTTTGAGGAGGACTATCCCACATTCAACATTTACGTTCAGATTTCTAAAGATATTTTGTCTCTTCTCTCAACACAACAGTGATCACAGTCCATTGCAAATTTGGCACCTAATTTCTGCAAGACATATAGACCATCTTCAGTGAATGTGGACATAAAGTCCCACTTTAGGAGTTGCCTACCAGCCAACTCTTATTGCAAGTCACTGGGATTAAGTTCCGAAGTCACATTTTGAGAAGGGTTGTATCTGAAGCAGATATGAATCACAGCACACGTAGACATGACCAAAGTAGCTCTGAAGCCCACTGTGGTGGAGCTAATTAAAGCACGTCAGAAGGCTCTACCCACCCAAGCAGTTCCCTGGGGATTTTGGGGACACTGAATTCTTTGCCTCACCCCTCTTATTGCCTCAAAACACTGCTTTTATGGCTGTGCAGATGCAAACATGATCAGAACAGAGTCAAGTTTATGAGGTACCACGAGGATGCACTAAACTGTCACTTCAGCTCCCCTCTCCATTTCTAACATCCCTCTCAGTTTGGTCTTCCTCAAGTGCATCCCCAGAAACGGGACCACTCACCCAAACAATATGTGACAGCTCATGGTTTAGGGGGTGCCACTGTAGCAGCTGAACATCTTATGAGCACATGTGCTTGCCAGGAAATCCTCATTCCATGACAGAGCACTTGAAACACAGAAAGTTTTCAAGGGTCTCAACCAAAAAAACGTGATGGTGCAAGAAGCAAAGGCGAGATGCTTTGCCTCTTGGGCCTCTGCTGGAAGACAAGCTGTTCCACCCCTCTCTTCATTAACTCATAAACTTTTTTAAACTCAGAAACTTTGGACTTTACCCAGATCTCTCCCCACCCACAGAATATCTTGCTTTAAATTATTTTTCCAATATCATCCAAGATCATATTTTTCCTTTTATGTTTCCAAGTTGAAGTTTATTATAGTTGTCTACATTGCTGATCAGTTGTAACCCTTTCTATTATTTTCCTGTCCTTGCCACTATTTGAAGCACTTCTTACTTGGATCCCCTTCAAATTCTATTACTGTACTGCTCACCTCATTTTTGTACCAAGCCCATCCTGCCTTGCATTTATTGTCACCAAAATTGAGGACACAGCTGTTCCCTCTCCTCTGCTGCACGGCACCACCAGATCCACTTTTTATTCCATTCTTTTCCATACACAGTTTGCCTCTCTGCTGATGAGGAGACCCTTGCTGGGTTTAGCCAGTGCCAGCCACATTGTCCTTACCATTAGTGTTACATTTCTAGTTATTCTTGCTCCTTCCCAAAGCCTTTGAAGTCGTGTAGAGA